TTCACCTAGCAGTAAATGGGTACTGGTTTAACTCCATATACCTGCTGCTCCTGTTCGCCTGGTAATCACTACTTACCTCCGGGAGGGTTTTCGGGATAACCCCCCCGCGGGCCGGCCCCATACAAGGCCCCTGGGTGGATCGGGGCCTGATCAACGAGCTTTTACCCCGGGCCCGCATCATCCAACTTACGAACCACAGCCAGGCTGACCGGCACTGATTTAGGTATTTTCCCACTTCCTTTTGAAGACAACCAGGGGTCTTTGGGTTTCCCCCTTATGGCTGTGGGAGGCTTTTTGAACAGTCTTGGCCTGGGACATTTATTGGGCTTTTCTCTTTTTGTACCATGACGCCCCCTACTTTTCACGGGGGTTTTTAAAACCCTCGCCCCTGCCAATCTTTTGCTTTCGTAGGGGAGTGTTTTCTGTGGGCAATTGGGGACCAGTCCCTCCAAATTTTCCAGGTGAAATTATGATAATCTTTTGTAATGGGAATAAGAAGATAAAGATGATTTTGGGCTTCCCTGGAGGGGGGTTTTGGGGGACTTGTCAACAGGCTGGAAAATATAGTCAGGTAAGGGGAACAACCCCATTACGTCTCATGCGGGTGGAAATATATTGGGAAGGGAAAGGGGAGAAGAGCTGCAATAATACAGGTCACTAAGATTTCATTTAATCAAGGGGGGGATCCCAATCAATGTAGCATCTTGCCTAAAGGGGAGAAAGGAAAAAATGGTTGTCTGGGCAATTGGTGTAAATTTCTGGGTAACAGATCTGCAAGGAACTTTCAATCCCATTCATTGACAACTGGAACAACTTTTAGGGGAAACATGATATGTAAGAAGGGATGGGGTACATCTCCTGGGCAGGGTGGTACACTTCAGCCCCGATTTAGAAGCCCTTGGTGAAATGCCTATGATTTTAAACGATGGAAGAAAGGTAGGTTGTGTGGGAAAAAACGGTTGCAACACTAGGTTGGAAACAGAAATGTAAAAAAAAGGGATTTAGCATGAAGTTAAAATAAAAACAATAGATCAGGGCAGCAAACAAAGGGGGGCAGCAGAGGGCAGCAAGGACTAGCTCCCTTAAGGTTTACTATACTAATAGCAGGAGTGTAAGAAATAAGATAGATGAGCTAAGATTAATTGCAAGTGCAGGAAACATAGATATTATTGCTATAACAGAGACCTGGCTCAATCTGAAAGATAGAGAGATGCCCTCTGAATGTCACATACAAGGCTATAAATTATTCCACACTGACAGGGTCAACAGGAAAGGTGGTGGAGTAGCGATGTATGTCAGAGACAATTTAAATTGTTGTGTTAGACAAGATATTAAATTAGAAGCGTCAGCCACTGAATCTGTTTGGTTACAGCTTCTCGAGGGCCGAGAAAAACTAATTTTGGGTGTGATTTACAGGGCCCCAAATCTTGATAGGGAGTGCAGTAAACTTCTATGGGACGAAATTCGTAAGGCATCTACATACGAAAATGTTGTGCTAATGGGAGATTTCAACTATAGACAGATTGACTGGAGCAATTTGACAGGAAATTTAGAGTCAGGTGATTTTCTTGATACAATCCAGGATTGTTTTTTAAAACAGTTTGTGACAGAGCCAACTAGGGGAAATAACCTCCTTGACTTGGTTCTTGCCAGTAGGAAACACTAATTAATAATCTTGAGGTTAATGATGAGCTTGGGGAAAGTGATCACAAATCACTCAGTTTTAATATATCATGGAATTCCCCTAATAATGGCAATCAAGTCTCCTTTCCCTGACTTTCGCTTGGCTGATTTCATAGGACTAAAAAAATTACTTAGGTGGGCTGAACTGGAATGACCTGACTAAGGGTCAGGTAGGTGGTGATGGTTGCCGATATGATGCTTTCCAGGGCATAGTTCTAGCTGCTCAGTCAAATTATGTTCCAATAGGGAAATCAGATCAAACAAAAATGATCCTAAATGGATGAACAATAGATTAAAATATCTGATTGGTCAAAAGAGAGGCATATATAGGCAAATCAAAAGAGGAGAGGGGCAATTAAGAATCGATATATTCAGTTAAAAGAGAGAAATAAAAAGGGGAATTAGAAAAGCAAAAAGAGATTATGAGGGTTTAAAATTGCAAGAGAATCGAAGACTAACCCAAAAGGATTCTTTCAGGTATACAGAAGTAAGATCAGGGACAAGATAGGCCCACTCAAAAGTTCCTCGGGGCAGCTCACTGACAGTGATAAGGAAATGTGTAGAATTTTTAACACATACTTCCTCTCAGTTTTTACACAGGAGGATACCAGCGATATTCCAGTAATGATAAATTATCTAGAACAGGACGATAATAAACTGTGCACGATTAGGGTCACAAGTGACATGGTCCTTAGGCAAATAGATAAATTAAAACCTAACAAATCCCCAGGCCCTGATGAACTGTATGCAAGGGTTCTAAAGGAATGTAAAGAGGAGCTTAGCACACCTTTGGCTAATCTTTTCAACATATCACTACAAACTGGCATGGTGCCAGATAAGTGGAAAATGGCAAATGTGATACCTATTTTCAAAACAGGTGACAGGTCCTTAGCTTCGAACTATAGACCAATAAGCCTAACCCCCATAGTGGGAAAATTTGTGGAATCAATAATTGCCGAGGCAGTTCGTAGCCACCTTGAAAAGCATAAATTAATCAACGAATCTCAGCATGGTTTTACAAAGGGGCGTTCTGCCTTACGAATTTATTAACTTTTTTCACTAAGGTATTTGAGGGGAGATCATGGTAATGAATTTTATTTTGTGTATATGGACTTCAGTAAGGCTTTTGACAGGGTCCCACATCAGAGACTATTGAAGAAAAATTAAAGCACATGGAATAGGAGGAGAAATTTTTTCCTGGATAGAGGCATGGTTGACAAATAGGCAGCAGAGAGTTTGCATAAATGGGGAGAAATCAGAGTGGGGAAGCGTCACGAGCGGTGTTCCACAGGGGTCAGTGTTGGGCCCCCTGCTGTTCACAATCTACATAAACGACATAGATGAGGGCATAAAGAGCGACATCGGCAAGTTTGCCGATGACACCAAAATAGGCCGTCGAATTCATTCTGACGAGGACAATGGAGCACTCCAGGAAGATTTGAATAGACTGATGCAGTGGTCGGAGAAGTGGTAGATGCAGTTTAATAGACAAATGCAAAGTTCTAAATGTTGGACAGGACAATAACCATGCCACATATAAACTAAATAATGTAGATCTTAATATTACGGATTGCGAAAAAGATTTAGGAGTTCTGGTTAGCAATAATCTGAAACCAAGACAACAGTGCATAAGTGTTCGCAATAAAGCTAATAGAATCCTTGGCTTCATATCAAGAAGCATAAATAATAGGAGTCCTCAGGTTGTTCTTCAACTCTACACCATTTTGATGTTCAACTCTATACATCCTTGGTTAGGCCTCATTTAGATTATGCTGCACAGTTTTGGTCACCGTATTACAGAATGGATATAAATTCTCTGGAAAATGTACAAAGGAGGATGACAAAGTTGATCCCATGTATCAGAAACCTTCCCTATGAGGATAGACTAAGGGCCCTGAATCTGCACTCTCTAGAAAGACGTAGAATTAGGGGGGATATGATTGAGGTGTATAAATGGAAGACAGGAATAAATAAAGGGGATGTAAATAGTGTGCTGAAAATATCTAGCCTAGACAGGACTCGCAGCAATGGTTATAAGTTGGAAAAATTCAGATTCAGGAAGGATATAGGAAAGTACTGGTTTGGTAATAGAGTTGTGGATGAGTGGAACAAACTCCCAAGTACCGTTATAGAGGCCAGAACGTTGTGTAGCTTTAAAAATAGGTTGGATAAATACATGAGTAGATGTGGGTGGGTGTGAGTTAGACCTGATAGCTTGTGCTAACAGGTCGGTTGCCGTGTTCCTCCCTTAACTCAATGTGACCTGACCTGACTAGGTTGGGTGCATTGGCTTAAGCCGGTAGGGACTTGGACCTGCCTCGCATGGGCCAGTAGGCCTTCTGCAGTGTTCCTTCGTTCTTATGTTCTTATGTTCTTATTACCGGTAATGGCTTGATAAAGCTCCTGGAGAGCGAAACGTTGCCACAATAAATGTCACATTAGTTGCACTTGTGTCCTTTTACTTTACATATTGTCGGTAATTCTACCAACTTTATCACGACTGATTACATCATCTTTATTTCACTACTACACTGCTCACTCTGTATGTGACTAAAGAAGCCTACTGTGTAAGCAAAATGTTTCATGTGTGTCTTAATATTCAAAAAACTTGCATATTTTTTGTCATAATTTTAGAATGTCCAACCTTAAACTAGAGAAGATTAATTTTAAGGATGTGTGGTAAAAATTTGCAAATTTACTAATAAATAACAAATTTTGTATTATTTATTTTCAGTGAATAACTGGTGAAAGTATTTAGAAGACATGTGAAACATGTGAGGAACTTTTATTTAGACGTTTCGCCCACCAAAAGCCTCAATCTATATGGTTGTACATAGTATGGTGATACTACTAATAATTAGTGTGAGGCGAGAGTGCTGCCAACCAAGCCACTGGACATCTAAGGAAAAGGGACACTTATTAAATGAAACGTTTCGCCACGAGGACTCATGAAGCCACTCGTGGCCAAACGTTTCATTTAACATCCTGAACTGTACACAAGTGAACTTTTCCTCAATCTGCATTTCTATGTTCTTTCAAGGCTCCCGAAAAGAATTATGAAATCTCATTGCCTCTCATTTTCCAGGTGCCGTATGACTCTTAAGGGTTTAATGAATACAATAAAACCTGTACAGGACCCAGTAAAACCTGTACAGGACAAGTAACTTTGTCTGACTTTTTTGGGAGGGGGGTTATCCTAGGTAATTTACACACATGTTAAACTTTGTATGATAATTGTACTTATGTATGCCTGTACCTAAATAAACCTACTTATACCTTTCTTGCACCCTTTTTTTAATTAAGTGTTATGTCTACAGGCAGGAGAGCACATGACAATGAGTGTAGGTGTGGTGCTGGTGTTGGTGTGTCTGTGGGGTGCTGCCTTCACTGCTATACACACTCCACAACGTGGTTAGTTCTTCTTTCTCTACTTAATAATAATAACCTTTGTTATTTTTAGTTTAATAATTAAGCATACCATACCCATCCTGTGGGCGGTAGTCAAAAGATTACAGAGGTACATAATGGGTCCAGAGACTGGGCAGCACAGTTTTGATAGCTGAGCAAGTTAGTGGTAATGAACTATTTACATGTTTATATCTGGTTACAATAGTAATGAGATATGAACATGTAAGCAGGTCATTACCACTATCAAACTTTGTGTCCTAGTTCCTGGATCCATTATGTACCTTTCAAAGGGGAGGGCTTTGACGTTGCTGAGGGATTCTTGATCCGAGAAACTTAAGTTACCCTCTATGGATCAGGCCAAATTATTTCCCTTGACCCTGACACACCATGATCCCTAAGGATCTAGGGTTTCTATCACAATTAGCACATGTTCACAAGACCTGTAGAGAGGCACATGCCCCTCAAGAAGGTTCCTTGATGCTGGCGAGGAGCTCTTGATCTAGGGAATTGGATCTGTGCTCCAATTCCCTGGTTTAAGTCTGAATACCTTCCATTCCCCCCACAGATGCTTTATAATTCCTATGGGTTTAGCGCTCCCCATAATAATACTGTAGAGAGACAGGATCTCTGGTGAGCGGATATCCACTGGTGAGGCGAGTGTGTCCAATTCTCATTCATTTGAGAATCATTTTAAAATAATGATACATGTGGAGGTGAATGTATTCAGATATTTGGGAGTGGACGTGTCAGCAGATGGGCCTGTGAAAGATAAGGTGAATCATAGAATTTATGAGGGGAAAAGGGTGAGCGGTGCACTTAGGGGTCTGTGGAGACAAAGAACTTTGCCCTTGGAAGCGAAGAGGGGAATGTATGAGAGTATAGTTTTATCAACGCTCTTATATGGGTGTGAAGCATGGGTGATGAAGGTTGCAGCGAGGAGAAGGCTGGAGGCAGTGGAGATGTCATGTCTGAGGGCAATGTGTGGTGTGAATATAATGCAGAGAATTCGTAGTTTGGAAGTTAGGAGGAGGTGCGGGATTGCCAAAACTGTTGTCCAGAGGGCTGAGGAAGGGTTGTTGAGGTGGTTCAGACATGTAGAGAGAATGGAACGAGGTAGAATGACTTTCAAGAGTGTATAAATCTGTAGTGGAGGGAAGGCGGGGTAGGGGTCGGCCTAGGGAAGGTTGGAGGGAGGGGGTAAAGGTTTTGTGTGTGAGGGGCTTGGATTTCCAGCAAGCATGCGTGAACGTATTTGATAGGAGTGAATGGAGACAAGTGTTTTTAATACTTGACGTACTGTTGGAGTGTGAGTGAAGTAACATTTATGAAGGGATTCAGGAAAACCAGCAGGCCGGACTTGAGTCCTGGAGATGGGAAGTACAGTGTCTACACTGTGAAGGAGGGGTGTTAATGTGACAGTTTTATAAGCTGTAGTGTAAAGCACCCCTCTGGCAAGACAGTGATGGAGTGAATGATGATGAAAGTTTTTCTTTTTCGGGCCACCCTGCCTTGGTGGGAATCAACCGATGTGGAATAAGCAGAGGCAGACACCCACGTGTTGCCAAACCCTGCATAACTCACAAGGTTTACTGTGTAAGGAGTACTGGAAACTGAATGGTGTTCTTGCTATTTTATATCCAGAGCTATACCATCTTAGTCATAGAATTGGTGAAGGAAGGGCACTGGATCAGTCCCCTAGTTCTGCTTACACAATTTGCTATTTTCATGATATAGGAGGGTCATGTTAGGTAAGATTTGTCAGGAAACAGGACACGTGTTTCATGACTGGGTCTTAGTCATATGATGACCTGCAGCTGGAGCTTTTGGTCATCTGACCAAGGACTTCCACTGGCTTACCAGTCCACCTCTTTAAAAATTATGGTTATAGTTTATAACCACATTTATATAAGGAGATTCTCATTTGTGTTTTAAGTTTTCCTTTGGAAACACTCTAATTCATAATACTGTAGTGAACTTGGACTTTTCCAATACTAATGAAAATCTTCTCTCTTGTAAAAGCACATGGAAGAAATCTGGAGGGAGAATTCCTGGAGGATGCACTTGGGAATTGGCTGGCCCAGTTTGACACCTACACGTTCATGGTAAATCCTGGTGTTAACAGCAGTAGTGATCTGGAGAGTGATGAAAATGTAGTCCCTGAAGCAGATACTGAAGAGACAACTGCTACGGAGGATGAGCAATCATCGTTTGCACCCATCTCTGTGTCTCTGGATGAAAAAGGTCTTTTGAATCCTGACATTGATTACCAAGGTGAATTTTTTTTAATAATTCCTTTTTTAAAACAAAACATCATACATATTATATAACTTTAAAATTTTAGTAGTATTTACTATAAGTGATTAGTACAAGGTACATGTATTTGTTTATCTTGCATAAATTATAGATTTATAGTATATACATGTATCTAGGTTTTGTGTGCAAGGGGCTTGGACATCCAGCAAGTGTGTGCGAATGTGTTAGATAAGAGTGAGCAGAGGTACATTAATGGTATTTGGGACCCGATGAGCTGTTGGATTGTGAGCAAGGTAACATTTTGTGAAGGGATTCAGGGAAACCAGTTATTCAATCTTAGAGTCCTGGAGGTGGGAAGTACAGTGCCTGCACTCAGCCTGAAGGGCATCAGAACTGTAGTTCGTATGTGCCTCTGGCATGACAGTGATAGAGTGACTGATAGTGAAAGTGTTTCTGTGAGTCGCCTTACGTTCGTAGAGATGGCCAGTGTTTTAAAAATAAAATTTGCCATGGTGCATCCAGCTTGTCTTGGTGCTCTCATTCACATATAGTATCTTTAATAAAAAATATTGTGCATTACTAACAGAATTTTACTAGTTGTACTAAAGTTGAGTGTAAGTTGAATTTAATTATGTGGTGTTTTAGTCATGCTTTATTGGAGGTTATATTCAAATTCAGGTTTATTTCCACATGATACATTGTTTATGCAGGAATGTGTGACACTTGAATGCATGCAGAAAGCTATGATTAATAGTTGCTAAGATACAAACTACTGATTCTGCAACGATTGAATGTTCACATTCATTAGCAGTATACAGGATGATGGTCAGAAGTGTATTTCAGGATATTTGAACAGTAGCTTCTTGGATGTTTGTACTGGAATCTTTCTTGAACATTTGAGTATGATGTCCCAGATATATAATGACTACTTTGAGACACTTATCGGTATATGGATTTACTATGAAAATTCCTGTATAGTACTCTGTTACTGACCTTAATATTCCCAGGCAAGGTTATAATTTAAATAGTATGAGTTGACAATATAAGTTATGGAATAAATAATTGATACTTTGAAATGATTGCCACAAGAATATAAATTAATGATTAATTCTGGAAGGAACTTCTTTAGCATGAATATAAAGAACAAGTGGAATTCTTGAGGTGCAGAGGTAGTGGATTCAAATATATATATGAACCTAATGGTCGAAATGTGGGTCCCAGGAACAATAGCTCGACCCCTCACAAACACAGGCAAGTTCATATGGGGAAGCATTACCACTGATTTATTATGACCAAGATCCAGTACCCATGAGCTGGCACTCGATATTCACAAATATAGGTAAGCATATATGTCAGTCATCACTGCTGAGTGATTAATGGTCAAGAGACAGGTCCAGGAGCTGGAGCTGACTCTCCATAAATGTAGATGAGAATAGTCATGTAAATACTCTACAATGTTTCTCCAATCATCCATCCATTCCTTTTGTTAATATTAATGCATTAGCAGATGTCCATCTACTATTAATTTCTTGACTCTTTCTCTCAGTGTTAGTGGAATCTCTGGTGGCAGAAGAAGGTTCAGTGTTCCTCACTCTCAGCAAATATGCCAGCAAGTCTTCCTGTGGAGTGGGTGGATTTTCCAAAGGATCCACGATGAACCTTACCAAGGGTCAGTGGGACATTGAACATCAAGTAAATAACCTTAATACGTCCATCATTGAATTTTCTGACTCGGAGGTATGTAACTGAACTCCAGTATATGCATGTATAAAATGATATGTAAATAATTAAGGAAAAGAAAGCTAACTATAGGAAAGAAAGAAAGAAATGTATAAGAGGAACATTTATAACTTGAATACAACAGGAATGCCAGCTACACATGCAATACTGAATATTAATATTAATATTATTATTATTTTTTTTTTTTTTAACAAGTTGGTCGTCTCCCACCGAGGCAGGGTGACCCAAAAAAGAAAGAAAATCCCCAAAAAGAAAATACTTTCATCATCATTCAACACTTTCACCACACTCACACATTATCACTGCTTTTGCAGAGGTGCTCAGAATACAACAGTTTAGAAGCATATACGTATAAAGATACACAACATATCCCTCCAAACTGCCAATATCCCAAACCCCTCCTTTAAAGTGCAGGCATTGTACTTCCCTTTTCCAGGACTCAAGTCCGACTATATGAAAATAACCGGTTTCCCTGAATCCCTTCACTAAATATTACCCTGCTTACACTCCAACAGATCGTCAGGTCCCAAGTATCATTCGTCTCCATTCACTCCTATCTAACACGCTCATGCACGCTTGCTGGAAGTCCAAGCCCCTCGCCCACAAAACCTCCTTTACCCCCTCTTTCCATCCCTTTCGAGGACGACCCCTACCCCTCTTTCCTTCCCCTATAGATTTATATGCTTTCCATGTCATTCTACTTTGATCCATTCTCTCTAAATGACCAAACCACCTCAACAACCCCTCTTCTGCCCTCTGACTAATGCTTTTATTAACTCCACACCTTCTCCTAATTTCCACACTCCGAATTTTCTGCATAATATTTACACCACACATTGCCCTTAGACAGGACATCTCCACTGCCTCCAACCGTCTCCTCGCTGCTGCATTTACCACCCAAGCTTCACATCCATATAAGAGTGTTGGTACTACTATACTTTCATACATTCCCTTCTTTGCCTTCATAGATAACGTTTTTTGACTCCACATATACCTCAACGCACCACTCACCTTTTTTCCCTCATCAATTCTATGATTAACCTCATCCTTCATAAATCCATCCGCCGACACATCAACTCCCAAGTATCTGAAAACATTCACTTCTTCCATACTCCTCCTCCCCAATTTGATATCCAATTTTTCTTTATCTAAATCATTTGATACCCTCATCACCTTACTCTTTTCTATGTTCACTTTCAACTTTCTACTTTTACACACATTCTCAAACTCATCCACTAACCTTTGCAATTTTTCTTTAGAATCTCCCATAAGCACAGTATCATCAGCAAAAAGTAACTGTGTCAATTCCCATTTTGAATTTGATTCCCCATAATTTAATCCCACCCCTCTCCTGAACACCCTAGCATTTACTTCTTTTACAACCCCATCTATAAATATATTAAACAACCATGGTGACATTACACATCCCTGTCTAAGACCTACTTTTACCGGGAAGTATTCTCCCTCTCTTCTACATACCCTAACCTGAGCCTCACTATCCTCATAAAAGCTCTTTACAGCATTTAGTGACTTACCACCTATTCCATAAACTTGCAACATCTGCCACATTGCTCCTCTATCCACTCTATCATATGCTTTTTCTAAATCCATAAATGCAATAAAAACTTCCCTACCTTTATCTAAATACTGTTCACATATATGCTTCAATGTAAACACTTGATCTACACATCCCCTACCCACTCTGAAGCCTCCTTGCTCATCCGCAATTCTACATTCTGTCTTACCTCTAATTCTTTCAATTATAACTCTACCGTATACTTTTCCTGGTATACTCAGTAAACTTATTCCTCTATAATTTTTACAATCTCTTTTGTCCCCTTTCCCTTTATATAAAGGGACTATACATGCTCTCTGCCAATCCCTAGGTACCTTCCCCTCTTTCATACATTTATTAAACAAAAGTACCAACCACTCCAACACTATATCCCCCCTGCTTTTAACATTTCTGTCATGATCCCATCAGTTCCAGCTGCTTTACCCCTTTCATTCTACGTAATGCCTCACGTACCTCCACCACACTTACATTCTGCTCTTCTTCACTCCTAAAAGATGGTATACCTCCCTGGCCAGTGCATGAAATTACTGCCTCCCTTTCTTCCTCAACATTTAAAAGTTCCTCAAAATATTCTCGCCATCTACCTAATACCTCCCTCTCCCCATCTACTAACTCCCCTACTCTGTTTTTAATGGACAAATCCATACTTTCCCTAGGCTTTCTTAACTTGTTTAACTCACTCCAAAATTTTTTCTTATTTTCATTAAAATTTCTTGACAGTGCCTCTCCCCCTCTTTCATCTGCTCTCCTTTTGCACTCTCTCACCACTCTCTTCACCTTTCTTTTACTCTCCATATTCTCTGCTCTTCTTATAACACTTCTGCTTTGTAAAAACCTCTCGTAAGCTACCTTTTTCTCTTTTATCACACCCTTTACTTCATCATTCCACCAATCACTCCTCTTTCCTCCTGCCCCCACCCTCCTATAACCACAAACTTCTGCCCCACATTCTAATACTGCATTTTTAAAACTATTCCAACCCTCTTCAACCCCCCCACTACTCATCTTTGCACTAGCCCACCTTTCTGCCAATAGTCGCTTATATCTCGCCCGAACTTCCTCCTCCCTTAGTTTATACACTTTCACCTCCCTCTTACTTGTTGTTGCCACCTTCCTCTTTTCCCATCTACCTCTTACTCTAACTGTAGCTACAACTAAATAATGATCTGATATATCAGTTGCCCCTCTATAAACATGTACATCCTGGAGCCTACCCATCAACCTTTTATCCACCAATACATAATCTAACAAACTACTTTCATTACGTGCTACATCATACCTTGTATATTTATTTATCCTCTTTTTCATAAAATATGTATTACTTATTACCAAATTTCTTTCTACACATAGCTCAATTAAAGGCTCCCCATTTACATTTACCCCTGGCACCCCAAATTTACCTACTACTCCCTCCATAACATTTTTACCCACTTTAGCATTGAAATCCCCAACCACCATTACTCTCACACTTGATTCAAAACTCCCCATGCATTCACTCAACATTTCCCAGAATCTCTCTCTCTCCTCTACACTTCTCTCTTCTCCAGGTGCATACACGCTTACTATAACCCACTTTTCACATCCAATCTTTATTTTACTCCACATAATCCTTGAATTTATGCATTTGTAGTCCCTCTTTTCCTGCCATAGCTTATCCTTCAACATTATTGCTACTCCTTCTTTAGCTCTAACTCTATTTGAAACCCCTGACCTAATCCCATTTATTCCTCTCCATTGAAACTCTCCCACCCCCTTCAGCTTTGTTTCACTTAAAGCCAAGACATCCAGTTTCTTCTCATTCATAACATCCACAATCATCTCTTTCTTATCATTTGCACAACATCCACGCACATTCAGACTTCCCACTTTGACAATTTTCTTCTTCTTATTCTTTTTAGTAATCTTTACAGGAAAAGGGGTTACTAGCCCATTGTTCCCGGCATTTTATTATTATTATTATTAAATAGCACTCGGTGAACACCACAACACATTTTTAAGAAACAAACACTTGGAGTGGACTGATCATTGCCTATAGCTCACATTGTACTATAAGAAAATGAATGCTGCAGCTAAATCCTTTTTATATTTTACAGAGCACTTCCAGTTCCCCTAGTCTTAGTTCTTGGGAAAAGATCAGTGATGATTTCTGGTGGGTTCAGGGACGGTTGGTGGGTGGCGGGGTGCTGGCTCTCACTTTCACACCTCCAGAGTGTGGCTGTCTCACTATGAGGTAAGTGTACTTAGGTTCACTCACCCACAGATAAACTATTGCTATACAGGTGCTCCTCGATGTACAATGGGGCTACTCTCTGTTGACCCCATTGTAAGTCGAATATGAATATGATATGATAAATAAGTAAGTAAATAACTACTGTCACTGAATGTGTAAATTAACAAATAAATGCTGTAACTAACTAAATACCAGTACGAAAAGTAAATAAATGATTACAAGTTTATCCTACTAATAATGTACATTACTGTACAGTACAAAAAAAATAAGAAATTTTATAGTTTTATTACACCATCAAAAAGTCGAAACATCATAATTCGAAGCATCATACTGTGAGGAGCAACTGTACTGTAACTGATACAAATAAGTGGTTTAATAAGATGTGTGAGCTAAAACTAGGGTATATACATGTATATATTAGAAAACATTTTTTTCTTGGAACCAGGAGGCCTGGTCACAGACCGGGCCGCGGGGGCGTTGACCCCCGGAACTCTCTCCAGGTAAACTCCAGGTTGATCACTTCACTCCCAGGACCAAAATGTTTTGCAGTAAATATGTCTTAGTATTTGCTCATGTGTCTTATTAAACTACAGTGTTCATAAGCAGTTTAGGTCTTGGAAGGAAACTATATACATGAGGTCTAAAATATAAACAAGTTGCATTCCTATGGTTAAAAGGTAATTGATTTTTAAGTGCTGTGTTCATTATTACATGTTTAAAGACAATTTATTGAAGGCTATAAAGAGTTTTTTATGAAGAGTGTAAGGTTCAGATTGAAAGGCATTAAGGAGAGAAGGGGAATATTATCCAGTAAAAGTGTGCCTTAGACAGGGATGTTTAATGTCACTGTGGTTATATATACTATATGGCACCTGAAAGAAATGAATGGTAGAATGATGAAAAAAAAGTGTGGGGCTAAAAGATAAGGAATCTGATAGAAAGTGGGAGTTGTCATAGTTATTCTTTGCTGATGACACAGTGCTTTTGGGAGATTATGATGAGAAGTTGGCAAAAGTAATGAAGACATTTGTGAAGGTGTGTACAAGAAAAGAAACTAAAAGTGAACATATAAAAGAGCAAAGTGATGAGAGAATAGAGTGTGATTTTATTGTAAATGGATACAAGAAAGTCACTGATGATGCAGATGTTTTGCAGGCAAGCTAATCATGAGGCTTAATAAGTGTATTTGGACTTAGAATAAAATTTAAGTTGAAGATTGAGACACTTATGCAGCATATGGGAATCTTTATTGAGGAAAATGAACACATCAACTCCAGGCTGAGGGACTAATTACCTCAAACTCCTCCTGTCCTTACATCTTTCTACTTTGTGTTGGACTGATGAAGCCACTGTGTGGCAAAACGTTTCCTCAATAAAGATTCCCATATGTTGCATAAGTGTCTCAATCTTCAACTTGTCATTTTTTAAACCATTTATCACAAAATTTAAGTTAGTACAGCTTGGGTAATTCATTACAGTCATAAGTACAATGAGACATGTTGCAAATGAAGAAGTGGTCATTTACAAATAAATTACTGTGAAAGTATGTACATCGGTTCAGTGACCTGCATATTATGGAATTGATGAATTGGGGGTGTTGAAATCAAAATATGAGAATTTTCAGACAGTCATTGGATATAACATTAAAGGAGGGACTGTCAGAGAGGAGTGTAGATAGAGTAATAATGTCAGGGCAGTTAAGGAGTGGTTGAAAATGAAGACTGCATACTTTCTGATGACTGGGACAGTCACAATCCCTGGACCCATTATTTACCTCTGTAATCTTTTGACTACCATCCACAGGATGGGTATGGGGTGCATAATAAAGATATTAAACTAACTGGGACAGTCAACAAAAGATGATAGACTATCAGCACTGCCTGACACTTCATACGGAGTGGTGCTAGGGTCTCTTAGGTGACCGTGTACGAGTTTAGTGTGGCCCATACATAATCAGCTTTTAAAATTATATTTTTTTGATTTATTATTATTATTATTATCACACCGGCCGATTCCCACCAAGGCAGGGTGGCCCGAAAAAGAAAAACTTTCACCATCATTCACTCCATCACTGTCTTGCCAGAAGGGTGCTTTACACTACAGTTTTTAAACTGCAACATTAACACCCCTCCTTCAGAGTGCAGGCACTGTACTTCCCATCTCCAGGACTCAAGTCCGGCCTGCCGGTTTCCCTGAATCCCTTCATAAATGTTACTTTGCTCACACTCCAACAGCACGTCAAGTATTAAAAACCATTTGTCTCCATTCACTCCTATCAAACACGCTCACGCATGCCTGCTGGAAGTCCAAGCCCCTCGCACACAAAACCTCCTTTACCCCCTCCCTCCAACCCTTCCTAGGCCAACCCCTACCCGCCTTCCTTCCACTACAGACTGATACACTCTTGAAGTCATTCTGTTTCGCTCCATTCTCTCTACATGTCCGAACCACCTCAACAACCCTTCCTCAGCCCTCTGGACAACAGTTTTGGTAATCCCGCACCTCCTCCTAACTTCCAAACTACGAATTCTCTGCATTATATTCACACCACACATTGCCCTCAGACATGACATCTCCACTGCCTCCAGCCTTCTCCTCGCTGCAACATTCATCACCCACGCTTCACACCCATATAAGAGCGTTGGTAAAAAACTATACTCTCATACATTCCCCTCTTTGCCTCCAAGGACAAAGTTCTTTGTCTCCACAGACTCCTAAGTGCACCACTCACTCTTTTCCCTCATCAATTCTATGATTCACCTCATCTTTCATAGACCCATCCGCTGACACGTCCACTCCCAAATATCTGAATACGTTCACCTCCTCCATACTCTCTCCCTCCAATCTGATATTCAATCTTTCATCACCTAATCTTTTTGTTATCCTCATAACCTTACTCTTTCCCTGTATTCACCTTTAATTTTCTTCTTTTGCACACCCTACCAAATTCATCCACCAATCTCTGCAACTTCTCTTCAGAATCTCCCAAGAGCACAGTGTCATCAGCAAAGAGCAGCTGTGACAACTCCCACTTTGTGTGTGATTCTTTATCTTTTAACTCCACGCCTCTTGCCAAGACCCTCGCATTTACTTCTCTTACAACCCCATCTATAAATATATTAAACAACCACGGTGACATCACACATCCTTGTCTAAGGCCTACTTTTACTGGGAAAAAATTTCCCTCCTTCCTACACACTCTAACTTGAGCCTCACTATCCTCGTAAAAACTCTTCACTGCTTTCAGTAACCTACCTCCTACACCATACACTTGCAACATCTGCCACATTGCCCCCCTATCCACCCTGTCATACGCCTTTTCCAAATCCATAAATGCCACAAAGACCTCTTTAGCCTTATCTAAATACTTATATGTTTCACTGTAAACACCTGGTCCACACACCCCCTACCTTTCCTAAAGCCTCCTTGTTCATCTGCTATCCTATTCTCCGTCTTACTCTTAATTCTTTCAATTATAACTCTACCATACACTTTACCAGGTACACTCAACAGACTTATCCCCCTATAATTTTTGCACTCTCTTTTATCCCCTTTGCCTTTATACAAAGGAACTATGCATGCTCTCTGCCAATCCCTAGGTACCTTACCCTCTTCCATACATTTATTAAATAATTGCACCAACCACTCCAAAACTATATCCCCACCTGCTTTTAACATTTCTATCTTTATCCCATCAATCCCGGCTGCCTTACCCCCTTTCATTTTACCTACTGCCTCACGAACTTCCCCCACACTCACAACTGGCTCTTCCTCACTCCTACAAGATGTTATTCCTCCTTGCCCTATACACGAAATCACAGCTTCCCTATCTTCATCAACATTTAACAATTCCTCAAAATATTCCTTCCATCTTCCCAATACCTCTAACTCTCCATTTAATAACTCTCCTCTCCTATTTTTAACTGACAAATCCATTTGTTCTCTAGGCTTTCTTAACTTGTTAATCTCACTCCAAAACTTTTTCTTATTTTCAACAAAATTTGTTGATAACATCTCACCCACTCTCTCATTTGCTCTCTTTTTACATTGCTTCACCACTCTCTTAACTTCTCTCTTTTTCTCCATATACTCTTCCCTCCTTGCATCACTTCTACTTTGTAAAAACTTCTCATATGCTAACTTTTTCTCCCTTACTACTCTCTTTACATCATCATTCCACCAATCGCTCCTCTTCCCTCCTGCACCCACTTTCCTGTAACCACAAACTTCTGCTGAACACTCTAAACACTACATTTTTAAACCTACCCCATACCTCTTCGACCCCATTGCCTATGCTTCATTAGCCCATCTATCCTCCAATAGCTGTTTATATCTTACCCTAACTGCCTCCTCTTTTAGTTTATAAACCTTTACCTCTCTCTCCCTGATGCTTCTATTCTCCTTGTATCCCATCTACCTTTTACTCTCAGTGTAGCTACAACTAGAAAGTGATCTGATATATCTGTGGCCCCTCTATAAACATGTACATCCTGAAGTCTACTCAACAGTCCTTTTATCTACCAATACATATCCAACAAACTACTGTCATTTCGCCCTACATCATATCGTGTATACTTATTTATCCTCTTTTTCTTAAAATATGTATTACCTATAACTAAACCCCTTTCTATACAAAGTTCAATCAAAGGGCTCCCATTATCATTTTACACCTGGCACCCCAAACTTACCTACCACACCCTCTCTAAAAGTTTCTCCTACTTTAGCATTCAAGTCCCCTACCACAATTACTCTCTCACTTGGTTCAAAGGCTCCTATACATTCACTTAACATCTCCCAAAATCTCTCTCTCTCCTCTGCATTCCTCTCTTCTCCAGGTGCATACACGCTTATTATGCCCCACTTCTCGCATCCAACCTTTACTTTAATCCACATAATTCTTGAATTTACACATTCATATTCTCTTTTCTCCTTCCATAACTGATCATTTAACATTACTGCTACCCCTTCCTTTGCTCTAACTCTCTCAGATACTCCAGATTTAATCCCATTTTTTTCCCCCCACTGAAACTCTCCTACCCCCTTCAGCTTTGTTTCGCTTAGGGCCAGGACATCCAACTTCTTTTCATTCATAACATCAGCAATCATCTGTTTCTTGTCATCCGCACTACATCCACGCACATTTAAGCAACCCAGTTTTATAAAGTTTTTCTTCTTCTCTTTTTTAGTAATTGTATACAGGAGAAGGGGTTACTAGCCCATTGCTCCCGGCATTTTAGTCGCCTCATACGACACGCATGGCTTACGGAGGAAAGATTCTTTTCCACTTCCCCATGGACAATAGAAGAAATAAAAAAGAACAAGAGCTATTTAGAAAAAGGAGAAAAACCTAGATGTATGTATATATATATATGCATGTGCGTGTCTATGAAGTGTGACCAAAGTGTAAGTAGGAGTAGCAAGATATTCCTGTTATCTTAGCGTGTTTATGATGCTTGTATCATTTTATCACCTTAACTGAGGTCATTTACATCTACAGCACCTACTATGCCCTTCCTGTGGGGACCCTAACCCTGGTAGTGGGTCCTCAGATCTACCCCAAGGAGCTCCAAGCACTGGTCTGTGTTGACCCTTCTGCTAAGTATCAGGTAAGCAATGGAAGTTTATAATGCTGTAGGTTGGTTCCTAGCTAGTTTGATGTTATTTGATTATGTACCCCATACCCATCCTGAGTGGTAATTGAAGAATATAAAATCACATAATGGGACTGAACCTAAACATTTTGTTAGCTATGCAAGTTGCTGCACTTCTGAATTAATGTATTTGCATATTTATTGATGACTTATAATAATATAATATAATAATATCTTTATTTACTACAAGTACATGTACATGGTATAAAGGCCTAGCTGACATCACTGACATACTGCTAGTATACAGAAAGCCCCTTGTTATACTGAGAATTTCAGGCAAATTAGGTCAGTGTCCCAGGATGCAACCCACACCAGCCGACTAACACCCAGGTAAACATAGACAACAGGTATAAAGAAACATGCCCAATGTTTCTACCCTGGTTGGGAATCAAACCCAGACCCTTACCATGTGAAGTGAGAGCTTTAGCACCAGGCCACCAGTAATGCTCATTTGCAATATACCTGGAGTTTACCTGGAGAGAGTTCTGGGGGTCAACGCCCCCATGGCCTGGTCTGTGACCAGGCCTCCTGGTGGATCAGAGCCTGATCAACCAGGCTGTTACTGCTGGCTGCACGCAAACCAACGTACGAACCACAGCCTGGCTGGTCAGGAACCGACTTTAGGTGCTTGTCCAGTGCCAGCTTGAAGACTGCCAAGGGTCTGTTGGTAATCCCCCTTATGTATGCTGGGAGGCAGTTGAACAGTCTCGGGCCCCTGACACTCACTGTATGGTCTCTTAACGTGCTAGTGACACCCCTGCTTTTCATTGGGGGGATGTTGCATCGTCTGCCAAGTCTTTTGCTTTCGTAGTGAGTGATTTTCGTGTGCAAGTTCGGTACTAGTCCCTCTAGGACTTTCCAGGTGTATATGATCATGTATCTCTCCCGCCTGCATTCCAGGGAATACAGGTTCAGGAACCTCAAGCACTCCCGGTAATTGAGGTGTTTTATCTCCGTTATGCACGCCGTGAAGGTTCTCTGTACATTTTCTAGGTCAGCAATTTCACCTGCCTTGAAAGGTGCTGTTAGTGTGCAGCAATATTCCAGCCTAGATAGAACAAGTGACCTGAAGAGTGTCATCATGGGCTTGGCATCCTAGTTTTGAAGGTTCTCATTATCCATCCTGTCATTTTTCTAGCAGATGCGATTGATACAATGTTATGGTCCTTGAAGGTGAGATCCTCCGACATGATCACTCCCAGGTCTTTGACGTTGGTGTTTCGCTCTATTTTGTGGCCAGAATTTGTTTTGTACTCTGATGAAGATTTAATTTCCTTGTGTTTACCATATCTGAGTAATTGAAATTTCTCATCGTTGAACTTCATATTGTTTTCTGCAGCCCACTGAAAGATTTGGTTGATGTCTGCCTGGAGCCTTGCAGTGTCTGCAATGGAAGACACTGTCATGCAGATTCGGGTGTCATCTGCAAAGGAAGACATGGTGCTGTGGCTGACATCCTTGTCTATGTCAGATATGAGGATGAGGAACAAGATGGGAGCGAGTACTGTGCCTTGTGGAACAGAGCTTTTCACCACAGCTGCCTCAGACTTTACTCTGTTGACTACTACTCTTTGTGTTCTGTTTGTGAGGAAATTATAGATCCATCGACCAACTTTTCCTGTTATTCCTTTAGCACACATTTTGTGCGCTATTACACCATGGTCACACTTGTCGAAGGCTTTTGCAAAGTCTGTATATATTACATCTGCATTCTTTTTGTTTTCTAGTGCATCTAAGACCTTGTCGTAGTGATCCAATAGTTGAGACAGACAGGAGCGACCTGTTCTAAACCCATGTTGCCTTGGGTTGTGTAATTGATGGGTTTCTAGATAGGTGGTGACCTTGCTTCTTAGGACCCTTTCAAAGATTTTTATGATATGGGATGTTAGTGCTATCGGTCTGTAGTTCTTTGCTATTGCTTTACTGCCCCCTTTGTGGAGTGGGGCTATGTCTGTTGTTTTTAGTAACTGTGGGACGACCCCCGTGTCCATGCTCCCTCTCCATAGGATGGTGAAAGCTCGTGATAGGGGCTTCTTGCAGTTCTTGATGAACATGGAGTTCCATGAGTCTGGCCCTGGGACAGAGTGCATGGGCATGTCATTTATCGCCTGTTCGAAGTCATTTGGCATCAGGATAACATCAGATAGGCTTGTGTTAACCAAATTCTGTGGCTCTCTCATAAAAAATTCATTTTGATCTTCGACTCTCAGTCTGGTTAGCGGCTTGCTAAAAACTGAGTCATATTGGGACTTGAGTAGCTCACTCATTTCCTTGCTGTCATCTGTGTAGGACCCATCTTGTTTAAGTAGGGGCCCAATACTGTACTATGTAATTATTAAAGTTGTTAGATTTAAAGTAATGAGTATAAGTCATTAGTATAGTGATTGTGCTCACTTAGTTGAGTTTACTGAGGTCAAGCATAGCTCCTGGTCCTGTCTCATTTCAGCTTTGCAAAGTCCTGTCATTTTCTAGAATATTGGTACTACATTTGCAGTTGAGAGCATTGGTATATCCTTCTGTGGAATCTTAATTGATTGTTGTATAGAAACCATCATCTAATAAACTTAAAGTAAGTGCAAAGTGATAATTTAATGTTTTCTTCATATAGGAGAATGATGAAGAAGAGGAAGATGAAGAACATGACGTAGGGGAGAGCGAAGACTCGACTGAAGAAAATAATCAGGTAGTTCTTAACCAGGTTGTTGTTAACCAGTTGTTAATTAGATCTCTTAAATCAACAGATAAGAGAGCCAGACAGGAATGGAAATATTCTAGACATGATCTGGATGAACATTGAATAACTAATCAAGGGTATAACAATCTCAAGTTCATTATATGTACACAGACTACAAACTCACTGAAGTATATAGAAGCATAGGAACACATGTAGACATTCCAGGAAGGACTGTTTAGCAAGTGTGACTTCAGTAACCAGAGAATTGATTGGGACTAGATAAATGAACTTTCAAACACTCCCTAGTAAACAGTCCTGAACAGCCTAAACCCACACCGGCACATGACAGAGCTAAATACAGAAGCTTACAGGGTCTGTATAAAATATGTTCTGCTGAGAAAGCCATAAAAAGAAATCTGTTGAAAGAGAACTAAGATGAATGTGCAAAATAAAAAAAAAGTATTATAGAACTGCTTAAAAATGAGACTATATCACAATAAAGGAAAGATAACTTACAATGAGAGATTAACGACATAGAACAGAAACTGAAACTTTCCTACCAGATGGAAGAAGAGCATAAGGAACAAAAAGCTGTTCAAGAAATGGCAAAAAAAAAAGCTAAATATTTCTACACACATGGAAAATCCAAGTTAAAAATTGGCCCACTATTAACGGTAGATTCATTGTTTATAATGAAAAAAAATTAGGAGAGTGGAAGATAAAAAAAACTTTCTTTATTACCTCTGCCCACCCAACATACAAATCTGACAAGCTCAAGTCCTCTAGAATTCAAGAGGGAAAATAGAATCATAATCATGGGGGAGCTCTAAATCCATAGGATTATACAGCGTATGTGGGGGGGGGAGGATGGAAGGTATTCAGGCTCAATTCAGGGAACTGGAGCACAGATCCAATTCCCTAGATCAAGAGCACTTCACCAGCATCAAGGGACCTCCCTTGAGTGGTGGTGGTGGTGGGGGGGGGGGGGGAATAGAAAACATGCCTACAACCTCTGCAGTGCGTCAGATCAACCAAGTTATGGATATGTGGCCAACTGGCCACCAATAACCAGGCAATCATAAGGAAGACCTAGCCCTTGGTGAGCTGCAGGAGTAGGAAAACTCTCAGAATGCGTCACATCTAGATCATATTCATGGGGAAGCACTAAACTTATATGGGCCATACAACACCTGGGAGATGGGATGTGATCAGATTTGGTCAGAGAAAGGAGAGATGGGTTACTCCTTTGATCAAAAACTCTTCATGAGCCTCAGGGATTTTCCTTGAAGGAAGGTAGTTATTAATAATTAAATTATTGTACATAAATTAACTTAAACTAACCTGACCTATTAATCAGTTTATTTTATTTCCAGATGAAGCTCAGCAAATGTTGGAATGTTATAACATTTCATAATCACTATTATATCTGAATGTAATACAGTAGATCATTGATTAACACATGATCTATTAACACGTTTTCACTTTAACACTGTTGAAGAATTGCAGCATATTGTCTCTGAACATGCTGCATTTATCGTATAACATGGAGTAAATTATTACTTTGCGGTAATACGTCAAGTGACTTAAGTGTAAGTTCATGGCTATTTACCTCCTAGGCTCTCAGTACTTTAAATGGTACAGATAAAACCACCTTACTGGTTATTTGGAGGTCAAACCAGTCAACATGGATGACAGGAATTATTAAACATTTTCCTTTTCATTTTTCATTTATTGGCTGGAAGTCGTGTTTTACCTTGCATGCAAGGTTCTCTTTCTTCTTGATAGTTCCCTTACTTACCCAAAACTCTTGGAGGATGTGCACCAGCGTGTAAAAGTTGTGTTTTTACCACCTGACACTACATCCTCAATACAACCACTGGATTGAGGAGTGTTAACACATTTAATAAAGTGAAACTACACACAGAAAGTGATGTAGAAACTTGTCGGAGCAATAAATGATGACTCAGACTTTGTTCTTCCAGACCTCTGGCATAAATTTAACATTGCAAATGACATCAACTATGTCAACATTTAATGCAGGCTGGGAAAATTATGGCCTAGTGTGGGGAATGCATATTTTTATAGGCTTTCTCCCATTGAGAGTCTGGTCCAGGAATTTGTTCAGCTGGCAGGGATATTCTGGGTGAGAACTCTGAAGATATGCAGCAAGATATAAATGAGCTCATTGTCCAGATACAAAGGAGGAAGATAAGAAATGAGGATGAAGAAGAACCTTCAGAAAAACAGATAATACTGCAACAGACAGGTGCATAAGCAATTCCATATTTCTTGTAAAGTTACAGACTTTTTCTATGAAGAGGACCCTGACAAATGAAGAAGCACTTGTTCTGAAATGGGGGTCTAGAGCAGCTGATGATGTCTTACCATCAGCTGTATAAAGTACTGCAGGATAAAACAGACCGGAGACATATTACATAATTCCTCAGTGTTCCAGTACAACTATCAGTATGAGTGCAAGACCCTCAGTCATTCACTTCAGTCAGTGACCCACCACCTTCCACTTTAGCCCATTAGGGATGCACCATCCCTCTTCACTCCTTTCAAAATCATCAACATACACCAGCATCCAGAATTTAAGGTAAGAAATATTATTGTTGGAGTGTGAGCAGGGTAATATTTAGTGAAGGGATTCAGGGAAACCATTTATTTTATATAGCCAGACTTGAGTCCTGGAAATGGGAAGTACAATGCCTGCACTTTAAAGGAGGGGTTTGGGATATTGGCAGTTTGGAGGGATATGTTGTGTATCTTTATACGTATATACTTCTAAGCTGTTGTATTCTGAGCACCTCTGCAAAAACAGAGATTATGTGTGAGGTGAAAGTGTTGAATGATGATGAAAGTATTTTTCTTTTTGGGGATTTTCTTTCTTTTTGGGTCACCCTGCCTCGGTGGGAGATGGCAGTTTGGAGAGATATGTTGTGTATTTTTATACGTATATACTTCTAAACTTGTATTCTGGGCACCTCTGCAAAAACAGTGATTATGTGTGAGTGAGGGGAAAGTGTTGAATGATGATGAAAGTATTTTCTTTTTGGGGATTTTCTTTCTCTTTGGGTTACCCTGTCTCGGTGGGAGACAGCCGACTTGTTGAGAAATATATATATACATGTGTATATATATATATATATATATATATATATATATATATATATATATATATATATATATATATATATATATATATATATGTATGTATATATGTATATATGTATGTATATATGTATATATGTATATATATATATATGTATATATGTATATATATGTATATATATGTATATATATGTATATATATGTTATATATATATATATATATATATATATATATATATATATATATATATATATATATATATATATATATATATATATATATATATATATATATATATATATATATGGGAGAGGCACTGTCAAGAAATTTTAATGAAAATAAGAAAAAATTTTGGAGCGAGTTAAACAAGTTAAGAAAGCCTAGGGAAAATATGGATTTGTCAGTTAAAAACAGAGTAGGGGAGTTAGTAGATGGGGAGATGGAGGTATTGGGTAGATGGCGAGAATATTTTGAGGAACTTTTAAATGTTAAGGAAGAAACAGAGGCAGTAATTTCATGCACTGGTCAGGGAGGTATACCATCTTTTAGGAGTGAAGAAGAGCAGAATGTAAGTGTGGGGGAGGTACGTGAGGCATTACGTAAAATGAAAGGGGGTAAAGCAGCTGGAACTGATGGGATCATGACAGAAATGTTAAAAGCAGGGGGGATATAGTGTTGGAGTGGTTGGTACTTTTGTTTAATAAATGTATGAAAGAGGGGAAGGTACCTAGGGATTGGCAGAGAGCATGTATAGTCCCTTTATATAAAGGGAAAGGGGACAAAAGAGACTGTAAAAATTATAGAGGAATAAGCTTACTGAGTATACCAGGAAAAGTGTACGGTAGGGTTATAATTGAAAGAATTAGAGGTAAGACAGAATGTAGGATTGCGGATGAGCAAGGAGGTTTTAGAGTGGGTAGGGGATGTGTAGATCAGGTGTTTACATTGAAGCATATATGTGAACAGTATTTAGATAAAGATAGGGAAGTTTTTATTGCATTTATGGATTTAGAAAAGGCATATGATAGAGTGGATAGAGGAGCAATGTGGCAGATGTTGCAAGTATATGGAATAGGTGGTAAGTTATTAAATGCTGTAAAGAGTTTTTATGAGGATAGTGAGGCTCAGGTTAGGGTGTGTAGAAGAGAGGGAGACTACTTCCCGGTAAAAGTAGGTCTTAGACAGGGATGTGTAATGTCACCATGGTTGTTTAATATATTTATAGATGGGGTTGTAAAGGAAGTAAATGCTAGGGTGTTTGGGAGAGGGGTGGGATTAAATTATGGGGAATCAAATTCAAAATGGGAATTGACAGTTACTTTTTGCTGATGATGCTGTGCTTATGGGAGATTCTAAAGAAAAATTGCAAAGGTTAGTGGATGCGTTTGGGAATGTGTGTAAAGGTAGAAAGTTGAAAGTGAACATAGAAAAGAGTAAGGTGATGAGGGTGTCAAATGATTTAGATAAAGAAAAATTGGATATCAAATTGGGGAGGAGGAGTATGGAAGAAGTGAATGTTTTCAGATACTTGGGAGTTGACGTGTCGGCGGATGGATTTATGAAGGATGAGGTTAATCATAGAATTGATGAGGGAAAAAAGGTGAGTGGTGCGTTGAGGTATATGTGGAGTCAAAAAACGTTATCTATGGAGGCAAAGAAGGGAATGTATGAAAGTATAGTAGTACCAACACTCTTATATGGGTGTGAAGCTTGGGTGGTAAATGCAGCAGCGAGGAGACGGTTGGAGGCAGTGGAGATGTCCTGTTTAAGGGCAATGTGTGGTGTAAATATTATGCAGAAAATTCGGAGTGTGAAAATTAGGAGAAGGTGTGGAGTTAATAAAAGTATTAGTCAGAGGGCAGAAGAGGGGTTGTTGAGGTGGTTTGGTCATTTA